TGTTCATCCCATGACCTTTGGAGCAGGACAGACTCAAAGCCCATATCCTGGACTTCTCAATGCATCATTCTTTCTCACTGAGCTGCCTATAGCTGCCTCCTGTGAGAACAGTATTGTAGTGATCCTTCTTCCTTGTGTATGTGGCTCCTTGTAAAATGCACACTCTCTTTACATGGAAACAGAAATAAACTTTAAAACTTTGCATACAGCTTCTGTACGAGTCCACCTAGGCCTCCTCTTAACTGTTGGACTATGGAGCTGGCTGCCTATTAGGACTGCAGTAACATTTCATCTTTCCCTTTATGGCTCTGGTTATTCCATTGTCATCAGGCCAGTGGTATACAGCCTGCTGCTCTTGCATCTGAGATGGTCAAGGAGTAAAACCCAGAATGCAGAAACACTATCTTCTGTCTGTAGGTATCAACTGATGCCTTCCTACCAATTGCACAATGGAGTTCTCTACTGCTCTTCTTGATGGGAAAGTGGGTAGACTAATGTGACATCATGGCCAGGGTTACTTGGGCATCACCATGTGCTGACAGTTACACTCCATGCATGCCTAATATGGGGGTGGAGTCAGAGATCATGAGTGCAAGTGGGCAGTAGCGGTGATGGTGCTGCCAGGGATGCTGTGGGAGCAGCTGTCAGAATTGCTATGTTATCTCTAGTTCTGACTGGTATCATTTCACTTCTGCTGCAGGCCGGGCAAAGGATTGTAATGACATTAGGCTGGCATAATTGGGCTGTCTGAGACCTACTCCGTAAACAGTATGAAACTAAATTGCTAATCGACCTAAGCTGCTTCTCAGACAGGAGAAAATCTGATTGCTGAATGGTAATTATGTTTCTGGTAAAGGTGGAGAAGCTTGGTATGACACATTCTCAATGAATTAAATGGAAGGTATTACAGAGTTATACCACATACTTGATTGCATCAAATGGTGACAACAGAGCAGTTACACATCTCTTGTTCTGTCTCAGTGCTACTCCAGAAGATGCTTCTTCTGGCTAAAGTAAAAGGTAAAGGTTTCCCTTGCTCAAAAGCCAGTTGAATCCAAGTCTAGGAGGCGGTGCTCATCTCTGTTTCCAGGGCTGGCTCGCTTACTAGGCGAACTAGGCGTTCGCCTAGAGCAGGCTGGCCCTTAGGGGCACCAAACTGCCCCCGCCCCCCCAAAAGCCCTGCATGCATCTAGTCCCTGACTGGGGGACACCGCCTCCACCTCTTTCACCCTGAGTCCAGCACCCAGTGCGCCCAGAAGTGGGCGGGGAAGAAAGCAAGGAGGGAGGAAGCACCCCCCCTTGCTGCAATCGGGGCCTGTCCTGAGGCGCAGGTGGCCTGCAGGGCAGGGAGGAGGAGGATGGCGCCGCCTGAAGGGCCCAGCGGCAGGGCGGCTCAGGTAGGCGTGCGTGGTGCATAGAGGGGGCTGGAGCAGACCCGCCGCCGATTCCTCCTCCGATGACTCCTCCACACCGCCCTCGGTGAGTCTCCTTGGTGCCACCCCCGCGGGGAGTGAGGGGACAGGGCACATGCGGCTGGTGGAGTCCCGGTCCCCCGGGGGGAAGAAGAGATGGGGGAAGCGGGTGGGGGGGGGAGAAAAAGCAGAAGGGCTGCCCTCCGAAGAGCCTTGTAGCCCCCTCTCCCCCCGCACCTGATGCACCTGGCTTGAGTGCCAGAAAGGCATGCGGCGGCGGGGGGGGGGAAACAAGGTGAGGGGGGCGCCAGAAGGCAGCCTTGCCTGGGGGGGAGTTAGTTTCACCTAGGGCACTGAAACACCTTGAGCCGGCCCTGTCTGTTTCCAAGCCAAAGAGCCAGTGCTGTCTGAAGACTTTTCCGTGGTCATGTGGTCAGCATGACTAAATGCCGAGGTGCACAGAACACTGGCTACATGGTCTATAATAGAACCTTTTGATACCCAGAACTTGACTATCAGAAATCCCTATTATTACAAACTGGGTATTTGCTGTCCCTAGTGAACCAACATCATAGGTCCATGCAAACAATTACTGCATTGATCTCAACTTTTGATTACCCAGGTATTGGGGTGGTGGGGGTCTCCAAGGCTATTTGGATAAAAGAGGCTATCTGTTACCCAGCACAACAAATAATAACGTGAACACTTTTCAAGTTTGATGGTTTCCTTCTGCTTTTTCTCTCTTCACACACAAAACTGTCCACTTGTATTATTTATTTACTTCCTTTCTCCCTGCCTTTCTCCCTAGTGGTGTCTCAAAGCCACTTACACTGTGCTCACCTCCTTCATTTTACCCTCACAACCTTGTGAGTGGGCTAGGCTAAGACTGTGTGACTGGCCCATGGTTACAAAGCAAGCTTCCATGGCAGAATGAGGATTCGAACTTGGGTCTCCCAGATCCTAGTCTGATACTTTAACCACTACTCCACCCTGACTCTAGTGGTCCTACTGAACATGCTGGTAATTCTAGCAGTAACTGTGGCAGAGTGACTAGAAATCTATCTATCTATCAATCACATGGTCTTCCCTATCACATGGTGACCTAGCAATCAGAATGCTTCTATAAGAGGTGTTAAAAACACAGTTGGCATGAAATAAATATTGGACAGTACAGCAGCAGCAGCGAAGGGAACAGTAGGAACATTCTGGATTTGCCCTAAATGGGGCGAATGCAACAGGATGTATGGCTTGCCTATATTCTTCTTGCATGCCAAGGGTGAAACTTGAAAGCAATTCCCCCAAATCAAACCATTAAAACTGTTAATGATATTCCCCACCCACACCCATGCACTGAGAAACACTAACAAGCTGCCCTAGATTATTCACACGCAGAGGAAGCACAGAAAAATGCCTATTCAGTACCCAGCTAGCTATTTCTGGAAAGTAAGCAACTTTTATTTTCCACCAAGCTCAGGACTACAACAAACTGTCATTATTTTTACAGATCTATCATTTTAGGCTGTCAGCATTTTCTCTAACGCAGGTTTACTTTCAAGCTTTTATAGGCTTGGCCACATATGTTAGGTGCGGCTGATGTCTGAACACAACAAGCCTCAGGACAAAGGAAGGGTTGCTTTTGTCTTTATTTTTTTCTCTTTTTTTATGAAAAGCAATTTGTTTAAATTAAGGGAAACCATTTTCTCTTAGTGTTTCCCTTGTCAGAACATGCAGTGTTCAAGATGTAGTCAGTAGTCATTATATTCAACGTGTGCTCAGAACTGGCTGCAGCATCTCAGCACGTGTATAACTAAAGAACATAAGAACATAAGAGAAGCCATGTTGGATCAGGCTAATGGCCCATCCAGTCCAATACTCTGTGTCACACAATGGCCAAAACCCCGGTGCCAATGTGTGTACATGAAGGGGGCTCCCTCATATAATGGATTGCTGCACACTGCAATCTACACATAGAATTCACATTCATACCTATATGTACCCCTGACAGTTCTAGCTTAGATCTTCTGGATGCTTGAACAAAGAAACAGCTCCTTTAAAAGAGGAAACAGCTGGGCCCACCAGCTGACTTGTCACTTAGCAATTCAACTGCCCCCAAGACGGAGCTGCGGTCTCTGTCAGGTAGCTGGACCAAGAATGGTTGAAAGTTATCATAGCCAGCAATGATCTTTACACAGGTAGCTCTAGTGAAAGTAGTCCTTCCCTTTCTATGTGTCTCCTGAACTTGCTGGACTTGGTCAAAGGGGTAGTCTTTTCCCTCCCACTCCCCTTAGATGAGGAATCTGTTCTCAGGGGAGGAGGGGATCCTGACAGTGATATATAGAAAGACGCCAGTGCATGTAGACGGGGAGTGCAAACGCATGCACTGGTTCCACCCTCCATCTGTGTTCAGTTGCTTGAACGTTCCAACAGCTATGAAAGGGTGGGGGTGGGGCCAGCACATTTGGTTGTGAACAGGGTTGGGACCGCCATGTTCATTCCCAATCGCTCTCTTTTCATGTTGACTTCAACCTGTGATTATCAAATATAGGCGTGCATGATTATCCCAGATGCTTTCCTTCCCACTTCATGTCCACACAACCAAGCATTTGGAATTGCCACATTACAATCTCCTTTCCATGAAACACGATGATGGCATCTGACTGGCCACTGTGAGAAACAGGATGTTGAACCTTTGGCTTGATTCAACAGAGCCTTCCTCATGATCTTAGGAGACTTTATAAGTAGTTTCATGTGCATTCTAAAGTGAAAAATCCTGAATTTGACAGCAAGGAAAGCTACATTCTGCAAGCACAAACTTTTTTTGTAGGTTCCAGAGGAAAATAACATGTAATTGCTTGATTCAGGTGACTGCCTTTGCCTTCAATTTGTACACAATTCTGTGAGAAGGGACTGGTGCTGGTGTGGAGTTTGGGGAAAACACGGGAGCTGTGGAAGTATTGGGGAACACAAGTGAGGAGGAACTGGGATGTTGCAAGTCATTTTGGGGGTAGACAGCTCTCTTCTCTCCTTGACTATTTAACTCTGTAATGCAGTATGAACATAGACAGTGGCACATATATAATGACAGTAACTAAAAATGGCTTATTGTGACTTTATCTACAGCCACTAACAAGATTCTTTATGTTTACATTTTGTGAACAGTATCACTTTCTAAAAGTCTTTGCAAGTGTAGAAAACAAAATGCTCTGATTATGACCAGCCCGAGTGTTGTACCTAGCTTTTTTTTGGGCCTTGTTACAAAAAATATGCAATGGCAAAAAAGCCTTGTATTACATTTCCTTTTTGCCTGCCAGGTCCAGTTCAAAGCAACATCCCTTGAATATATCATATTTACAGCTGAGGGGGGTTTGGTTTTGGTTCTGGTGGATTGCTTGAACTTATTTGGCTTCTGTCTCCTTCAGTTAATGCACACAACAAAGGCAGCTGTGTGCGCTGGGAAGCACAAGGCCAGAAACATACAATGGTACCAGCAGCTGTCACTATTCCTCAGCTCATGTGCAGTCCTGACAGGGAAAGAACCATTTTCCTTGTGCAAAAACAAAGTTAAACCTCACTGAATTTGTAACTCACCTATTAAATCTTGGGCTGTAACCAGTAAGGGCTCACTCCAAGGTCCACAACCAGCCAGGTTGAGCATGCACACTCTTATGATAAGATCTTTTAGGGGATTCCACATAGTTAGGTTAGCTGTTGTCTCCTGCACTACCATCTCCCCCTGAAACAAAAAAACCAAAAGTTGTAATCAGCACTCAAATTATACAGGGTTTGGTCTCAGGACTGCATTCTACTATGCTGGAATCTACTATCATCAAAAGAATCCTTCCTACATTTTCCAACAATTTGCTCTGCAAACATCTCCTTTACTGCTCCTGGTCTCTAGACTGTAAGTGGCTGATGAAGAATTATTCTGCCTCACTACAAACTGTTAGAATAAAGTTCAGGCCCATAGTCCAGTGGCACCTTAAGACCAACAAAGTTTTATTTAAGGTATAACCTTTCGTGTGCATACACACGTACATTAAAATGGAAGTTATCAGTCCATATGTATAGGTAGAGGATAAGCAGCAAATTATCATACAGCATAATAGAGGTGTTTAACAGATGCAAGGACCAAACTGGAGTAACAAGCTTAGTTTATATGGTCACCATTTGTTTGGGTTTAATTCCAGGGGGAAACATAGTGAAGGAAATATCTATATATCTAATAGCCAAGGCGCCCCCTGTGTGCGGATATCTAAATCCACACATCGGGGGCACCTGGGGGGCAGGGAGATTTTCCTGCACATTTGGGGCAATCCCCAGATGTGCAGAAAAATCTGAAAAGTTTTAAAAACTATACGGGGGATATTTAAATCCCCCCCCCCAAAGTAAAAGAGTGTTACCACTACCACTAGGCATTGTAGCAAAGCCATTACTGTTGGCGGCGGCGTGCAAGGGAGAAGCTTTGGCGCGCCATGGCTGGGAGCTGCAGCTGTTGCTGGGAGCTGGGGAGCCTGGCCTGACCGGCCCAGCAGTTAGGAGCTGTGCAGGGCTTGCTGCCGTTGTTGCTGGCAGCGGTGGGGGGGGGGTGGGGGGGGGGGAGAAGGTTTGGGGGGGCAGTGGCTAGAGCCATGGATGTTGTTGCTGTTGGGGGGGGGAAGCCCAGCGGCTGGGAGCTGCACAGGGCTCACCGCCGTTGCTGCTGGTGGCTGCAGTGGGGAGATAAGCCTTGGAGGGCTGGTAGAAGGAGGAGGCACTGCCACTGGAGGGGGAAGGAGGTAGGAGAAGACTTGGCGGGCTGGCGGACCGGCTGCTCAGGCCTTGCTGACACCACAGGGAGGGAGGGAGAAAGTTTGGCGAGCCTGACAGCTGGGAGTTGTGCGGGCCTTGCCATTCGTGCCGGAGGGTTCAGGGAGAAGGCTTGGCAGGCCCAGCAGGAGCTGCACGGGCCTCGCCATTGGTGCTGGGGGGGGAAAGGCTTGGCGGGCCTGGCAGGAGCCGCACGGGCCATGCCATTGGTGGAACCTCCTCCGCATGGATCTCCCCCCCCCACGAGTATCGCGGGTCCTCCTTCTTATATATATCAAAATTGGAGATTGATGGGTAGATATATCCTTCTTAACTGTGGAATGCTGAAAGTAATAAACTGAGACCCTCCTATTATGCTCCATCCATCTCACGCTAGAAGAAAATAACATTACATTTTCTTCTAGAGGAGCAATTCCTCCCTGTCCCCCCACCCACACAATATGACACAGAAAATATCAGTCACATCTGGGAATATTGATACCTCCTTTGTGTCCTCGTTGTGTTTCCTTGTCTACCTTCTCCCAGTCCACATGACAAATGCATTTCTGCCTGCATCTGCTTTCTCTCTGGACTACATTTTTCTTTTTGAGTTTCTTGCCTATGCATTGTTCAATTTTGCGATCCCATGAGCAATACCAATATGCCCTTCTAATGCTATAGTACAGAAGCTCAAGACATAATGGTGCCCCAACATAACATGAAACAAGGCCAAATAAAATAGAAGGAAGGAACATATATACTTCTGAAGCAACTCTTTTTCTGCCCCTGAGATCAGATTGGAATCAACTGTACCAATACACATTACCTATCAGAATTGCTGTTTATTTCTAATGGTTAATCCAGGTTTATCTGCACTTGTACAAGACAGGTCTAAGGAAATGATTAATTGGAACCAAGCTTCTGAAGTGCCTCACAACTCTGTGTCATCTGGATTTTGGGGGAAATATCCTCCATTTATTGATGAACATATTGAATAGGACCCTGACCTGGAAGAAACTGCTGCAGGATAGCATATGTCACCACCTTCCATCGTGACATAAAAGCATTAGTAAGTATTGTGTGTGGCTTTTTCAGAATATAAACAGAGGGTTTTTGTTTCCAGAGCTGTCAATCTAGAACCTTTTCTTAGCTTTCTCATCCCAAATGAATTTTCATTTTTATATCTCCAGTTATTTGAGAGATAGCCCAGGATATTGCTCAGCAAATCAGACAACAATGAACAACCTCTGACAGACAGAATATGATGATTCTCTTTGATTCACTTTGATTCTCTTTGATTCACAACACATTATCCATTCTCAGCGTTGTTCCAAAAGATCTACTGGCCAAGTAGCTCTGACAAATACCTCTTGCACTTATGAGACTAAATTTTAGTCTCTCTCCATGCACTGGAGTCTCTCTCTCTCTCGCTTTTTTTGACACATGTAAATGCAGTTAATTCAGGAGAGAATGGAAAAGTTGTTCTATCCAATATAAAGGTTATATTCACATTGTAGATGGATTTAAACACAAATTGACACTATACAATAACTTCCTTTGTTATAAGCCTTTTGCCAAGAAGGGTGTTTTCACACATCAAATGAATTAAACTGATTTGTGTCATGTGTAAAAACATCCTTCTTGGCAAAAGGCTTAAAACAAGGGAAGTTCTTCTTTACAGTTCACAAAATTAACTTGTGGGAGTCACTTCTACAAAATGTGGTGCTGGCCAGTAGTTGGGTGTTGTTTTTTTTAATTTAATTTTTTATTCATTTTTTTCTCATCATTTTTACAGCAACACTTGGCACTTAAAAGAGTCACAGGCATGAATATAAACAGTTTCAACACGCCAATCCACAAAAGTTAAGATAGTTACTATGAATGTTCCAAAATATACGTACATTAAAGAACATCTTTAGAAAAACAATAAGTTCCTATATAATGGATTTTTTGGAATAGTCTCACTATTTTCTAAATAACTAATCATAGGAAACCACACTGCCTGAAGCCACTTTTTATATTTTTCTGACTGTAAAGCTGAAGAGTTATATGAGGTGCGCCCATAAATAAAGCATTCCCAATTTTTTTTTTCCAGCAAGTTAGTGTAGGAATATTTTTGTTTCCATTTTTGTGCAATTGTTATTTTTGCCAACATCAGTAGGGTTATTAATGTTTCTGTGCTTTTTAAATTACAGGTGTTTGCCATGTCTCCACGAAGATAGATTCCAATGTACAAGGTAAGTCTATATCAGTTATTAATGCGTTTTGTTTTACTATTTGAACCCAGTAAGTTTTTCTTTGAGGGCATTTCCCCCAAAAATGTGCAAAGTCTGCTATCGCTCCACAATTTTTCCAACATTTATTTGTGATCTTTGAATTTATTTTGTGTAAGACAGCCGGGGTCATATACCACCTGTTTAATATTTGAAATGAGGTAAATCTGATACTAAAAATATTAGATGTATTGCTAGCTGATGACCAGATTGAGTTCCACTGTTCTTCTGTAAATGTTTTCTGGCAGTCTGACTGCCATTGACGCTGAGATTTTAAACTAGAAGTTTTGTACTTTAGATAGATTTTTTTTTAAGAGCTAGACAAATTTGTGAAGAACAGGGCTATTATCCATAGCCTATTCACTAACCAGAAACTCTTATTTCAGGCTTCTGAGTACTGGATGCTGTCAAACTCCCGAAGTGTCCTTGAAGCCTTTGCTGCCAGCAGCACTGCTATAGTTAATCTTTGTAGTTCACAGGTGTGTGTGTGGGGGGACCATGCATCGGCTTTGCGAGATGGATGACCAGTATGATTGCCTAGTAACACTGAGATGGCCACTGCTGTTCTAGATAGACATTGCTCATCCACAAAGGCAATTTTTATGTTACTGCATTACCTGAGTTATGTTATCTTGAATCCATTCCAACTTGTACCCCTTGGTATCATCTCCAAGCATTTCTGGAGCCACTGTTTCCCATTCCAAAATCAGGCAATAATCTCTCTGGATAACATGCACATTTTGTGGTGTACTATTTGGAGCTGTACAGAGAGAAAAGTCACAGTCTATATTGTGTTCAAAAAAGAGAGAGGAGAGAAAGCAAGTGAAAGCCTCCCCAGCAGCAACTACTAGAGGTATGGAAGTCTGAAACATCTGTGGTCTATGAGGCCTCAACTTTCTCAGTCAGATTCCATGGAAACTTGATATTTTGTTTACTAATTCCCTCTGTAAGTTCTACAGAGAATTCTTCAGGGTCCTAGGGAGTCCAACGCCCTTTCTTCCTTATTGTAACAAACTGTGAAAATGGCAGTTTCACCTGATTACCAGAATGACCACCTTCATATGAGTTACTTGCAAACTGCAATCTAGACTGAAATAAAGGAAGCAAAGTGGCCCGTGGTTTGAATCATCCACATAATTATATGTCCCTTGCACTGTTTTCCCTCATTGGGGATCTAGGGGAACTATTCAACAGTTTTGTTCTCCAGAAATGTATAATTACAATTTGGGGCCTGTGGGACTCAGAGGGATAATCACATCCTCCTCCCTCCCTTGACCGCTGAGCCCAGGCTCCTTCCAATCCTGCCCGCCCCTCCAGTCACTGAGGCTGGTGTGGTTCCAGGCCTCCACAGCTGCCTCCAGGCCTGGAGCAGCTCCTGGCCTCCACTGCCACCACAGATGGGCTTGGAGCAGTTCCCAGACTTTACTGCCACCTCCTCTCCAGGACAAAGTTGTTGCATGTGTTCAGACAATGCTTTTTTTATCTGGGGGTGGATTTAAGCCCCCCCCCCATGTAATGTTTTTAGGTTTTCACATTTTTCTGTAATCCTGGGGAATTCCCCAAGTTTGCAGAACTATTTGGTTTAAGTCAGTGTGGCCCTTGTCTACAGATTTAAGTATCTGCATATTAGGCCAAACTTGACTATTAGAATATAAAATATGGGAAAATCTTCTGCAGTTTCTATGCAATTGTCTGTTATGTTCTTACCTAAACCCAAGGTCTGAAAATAGACCCAGTTTGTAAAAGATGAGCTCCCTAGTTCGTTTGTACATTGGACCCGGGCACTATAATTGGTGGAGTGCTTTAATCCAGGTAAACCACAGGTAAAGGATGGGACAGGAACCACTTCTATGGAAACCTCTTCTTCTTGTTGTGAATTAGCCACCTGTTGCAAAAAATTTTTTTAAATGAACATACAAGTCAAATGCAATTTCATTAATTTCACATAAAATACATTATGTATATGCTTGTTTTCAATACATTGCTATACAGTGACTAATTCTCCAGATAGCTGGAGGTTGCATAGTAATACACTGCAAAAGTCAAGAATAACTTCTTAAGAAAAAATACTGGCATGGGCAATTGAGGGCATTTATCACATTTGGTGGGCATGCCCTCAGGACAGGCTATATTAAAGCTAATGTTTACTACAGATTTTCTGTGGGCCCAAATATACCGTTGCTGAACTATATGGACATAAAACAATTCCCAGGACTATGCAAGACTGTCTCTTTTTTTGCTCAGTTATATGTACAATAGTAAAACATGAAATCCCCATTATCCAGTGGAAATTTGAGACTTGGACATTTTTAAAAAATTGATTCACTTCACAGATGCAGTAGGAAAAACATGCACAGAGCATTTCCTTTTAAAAATCCTTTTAAAATGTACACATTTTCAACAAAGACCTTTTGAGACTTGCATTTATACCTATCTGTTTAAGAACTAGTACTTGTACACTATAATCTCTAAGTCTGGATTTTACTTCTATGTTCAGTTCCTACAAGAAAATACTCTTCCTACTTTATTATCTTTTCCTGCTTATTTGATGGAACGTAAACTAAGAAACTAATAAAACTGAAGCTCAAATACTTTGGCCAGCAAATGTGAAGGAAGCACTCACTGGAGGAGACCCTGATGCTGGGAAAGATTGAAGGTCAAAAAAGGCAAAGGATGAGATGGTTAGACAGTGTCATAGATGCAACGAACATGAAATTGAGCAAACTTCAGAGGACGGCGGAAGACAGGAAGGCCTGGCGTGATCTGGTCCATGGGGTCGCGAAGAGTTGGACTCGACTGTGCGACTAAACAACAAACTAAGAGGTGGAAAAGGGAGCTGACGTGAACACTCCTTTTTGACTCACTGTTATCTTTGCACAAGGAGATTTTCACAAGTTTTCAAAGCACTTTGAAAAACAACAAAGATTGTGTTGCTCCCCAGCACGATCAGATGCCGGGGGGAAGCCACTGCAGGGAGAGCGAGGCAGCCAAACTGCGCATGTGTGCGCGTGCGCAGTTCAGCCGGGAGCCTCGATTGCTCCTGCAGACGGGCGCGCTGGCGATCTCACGGCCGCACTTGCTGCGCCGTTCTAGGTTGGTGCTACCTTTTACTTGGGGGTTTTTTGCAGCGGGTTTTAGGCTGGAAGGGACAGATCGGGGACGGCTGCACACCGATTCCCAGATGTTGTAGTGTGCTCGCGCCCATTTGCTGTGCCCCCGATCCGTCCCTCTTCCATCCCAAAACCTCCCGTGTGACCGGGGCCAAAGATGAGAATGGGGTTAAGTGTGCACATCACAGGCCTTTGCCACCTTCAGTTCTTTTCAAAAAACAATCTCTTTGCCCATTCCTTATTGTCATTTTTTCCCTGACAGCAGGGGCATTCATGGATAGCCACCTGGAAATATGGGTCAAACAAAAATCAGAGAACAGAGTGGGGTAAAGCGTGCGCGTGAAACTTGGTACTGCTGATGCCCAAAATGTTGTCATCCCCAGGTAAAGCGTTCTGTAACAGAATATTATTGCTATGCTAAACCTGACTGGAGGGCAAAATCCCTGTGTTCGTTTCTCCCAGGCTGGGAGAGAAAGGGCTGCAAAACCTGGAAGAAATTCTAGCTGCCTGAGGACGATGAAATCTGAACTACTCTCATTCTGCTTCCCTTTTAAACTTCACTGGCGGCAAAAGAAAGGGAAAGTTGGAGGAGGAGCTCAAAACTCAAATGGATTAACACTGCTGGACGTGCAAACTATGAAGAATAGGCTGTACTGACCGAGGCAAGCTCAGCATTCCAGTTCACAGGAGGAGATTCATTCTGATCTGTCAGCAGCAACAGAAATGGTACAAAAGGCAGAGGAAATCTGCTGCATGCAGAAAGGTTGGCAGACTGCAATAGCACATCATTCTCTGAGGAAATGGAAAGGGAAAATCCAGGGGATTGTCTTAAACTACAGAGGACTCTAGAGTTTTTGGCACTGCACGCTGGACAACTGATTCATATTGAGTACCAATGTATACGACCAATTTGGCTTGCTGAGAATGTGGGTTGAGTGGAGCTGAACTTGCTAAAGTGGCCATGTAACAATTTCAGTTTGTAACTTGAGCCTTGTCTGCTATTCCACTTGCTTAACTAATGCCCACATACATAGTGAGCAATCATACAACCACCTTGTCATATGCTGTCTTTTGTACAGCCAATATTCTCAAAACTGTACCTTGATCATTAACTTGGCCATAACTGTGGTGCTATTGCCAGCTGGAGTAATGGTGACTTACAGACTCACATGCTGCCAACATGGACATATGTTATATTACTTTGTATTAGAACCTAAGCTTGTATTGGATCATAAGCTTGGATTGTAGGCAGTGTTCCCTCTAAGCTGAGTTAGTGTGAGCTAGCTCACAGTGTTTTAGCCTCCAGCTCACACATTCTTGTCTCAGCTCAGGAAGGGTGGCTCCAGAGCCAACGAATTTATGCAGCAGCCAAATCGCTCGCTCACAACTTTAATGCCAAGAGCTCACAAAGTAGAATTTTTGCTCACAAGACTCCAGAGCTTAGCGGGAGCATTGATTGTAGATGGTAGTGGTCTGCCCTGTTTGTCTGGCACTGAACATGAAACTACAGGATAAACAGGAAGATCTTAACATATTGTAACAAGGTGCAATATACTGAACACGCAGATATTATGTACCCAGCCTCGCCTTGATTTGCCCCTTGGACATTGCCCAGACAGTAACCAAGTCTGACAGCTTGGCATTAAAAGCCATTGCTCTGTGTTGGACTGAGATGGCTTTATCTGTTTTAGCAAACGAGCCAAACACTGAAGCTTGCGGTGAAGGATGATCGCACAAGCTACTGCCATTGTTTTGATAGAACTACTCCTATCAGGGACGTCGAGCCACATGCTTTGCTTATTCCACTGAAATCCTAAAAATGTAAGTTCTGACTGCAAATGGAGCTAAGGAAACCCTGCATTATGTATATTGATGTTACTTTATGCTAAGTGTGCTAGAAGCAGCATGGCCCACAACAGTGACTTATGAAGGCAAGCACTCTCTCTAGGGAGCTGGTTGTGGGTGAGGCTGCTCCCCCCAATAGCCCCCCCATATTTGCACATTACACAAAACCCTCTGACCTAGCTGCTAGAGGTCTAGATAAAACAATTCAGCTTGATAACAAAACAATCTAGCAGGAATTCCTCTGAATGGTCCCACATGGGAGCAGCTCACCTGCTGGAATGCTCCCAAGAGAACACTGATTTAAAGGCCTATTGTCCTCAGCCTCCAGAAGCACCCTCACATCCAAGACTGATTGACTCAAGTTTGCTGTCTATAACCTATGGCTAAAGAACTCTCCTCCTCACCCAGCCTACCCCAGTGGTTCAATCCCTTCCCTCGGGAAATATCATTAAGCTGCTATTCAACATTTGTTAGGACAATTAGAACTATTCCCCAGCCTTGGTAATTTAATTGCCCCACTTGGAATTCTCCCTTCACCTCCTCCATTTAGTAATCCCACTGTGAATCCTAATCTCATCCTTTTCGAGGCGCTTAAAAAGGGTTCCTCAAGCCCCACCAGATCCGTAGTTGGTTTTGTACCTAAGCCTTCTTCCCCACCTCATGGTTGGCTTGCTTCCCAGACTCTTTTGCCAAATTGCTGAATCCCTCAGCTTGGACCCCAGCTTCTAAACTGGTTTCTGTTTGGATTTCAACTGTACCCCAGAGCAGCTTTTCTTCTGTTTTTTTCCAAGATGACAGTCCCATTAACTCTTCTCTTCAGGATAAAACAACATATTTTCCCCCCTTTCTATCTTTTATTTCCGCTCAGATTCCCCATTCACCTCAATCAGGCAACAACCGAGGGAAGCACTGGAGGCCAGTGTCATTGTAGTAACTTCATGTGTTTGTTCTCCATTGCATTTCATCTTTCTCATCTTGTATCTTGTTAGCTGAATAAAGATTAGTTGTTTTTGAGATTCTCTCTCTCTGTCTCATTTTTCCCCCCTAATTGGAGTGCTGTGCTAAATTGAGACCCGGGAATACACCAGACTGTTTGACCCCAAAATAGCTGCCCTGATGACTCAGTTGGACCCTACACATGAAAAGGATGCTTTGCTCATTATGGGCTCAACACATGTATTGATTTGGGTAACAAGCTAATGAATGGCCTGATTTGCTATATAACGGTAAGATGATGGGAGGGGGTGAAGAAGTAGATGAGCTAACCTTGGATTCCACATCAGACAAAACACTTTTTGAAGAAGAATTGTTAGGCAGTTAAATTTGTTTGAGCTGCAGTCCAAGCACTTCAAACACCATGATGTCATCAGGAGTGCCATAAAGTTCTAGGTGCTTCCCCCAGAATCTCCCTTCTTCTCTTCCACCCCACCCCAACTTATCTGTCCATCTGATGGGGAGACAGTGGCAGTGGGAAGCAGTTAAGGGATGGGGAAACTCTAGCATTCTTTTTGCCTTCTGCATTGTTGTTCTGTTCTCTTCTCTGTTTTCCAGAACACACCAGGTGCTCCAAATACTATCCATCTGAGCCACGGGGAAAGGGCACAACAGGATGGCAGAAAACAGTGGAAGGGCACTACAAGTTTCTAACAGCTAGGAACCTTGTCTTGCTTTAAAGATGGGTGTTACACACTACTGAAGCTCATACTCTGAGCCACATGAGTAGGTTTTTGTCAGCATTTCTTTTTTTAACTGATGGGCCTAATGGAATAGGCTGTCTATTTTTGAAGGAGTATATGTGAATGTTGAATACCTGAATGGTACAAGAACGAAGTGGGGAAAGGCCATCGAATCCGGGCACCCAAGTGACACTGGCATTGTTGCTGGTGATCTGGGTTACCGTCACGTTGAGAGGTGGAAAGGGGACAGCTGAAACAGAAGGACGGAAACTGTTTAGTGTAACTGAGCAGATATTTTTACGGAAATGTACAGACACTACAGCCTGCAAATTTGGATAAAGTCCCTGTGGGTTGCAAATTGATCATTGTATGAAAAGAGGTGGCTTGCTATGTCATTATAATCCTTGAATAACACTGAATAACTTATTATTTTTATTCTCTGTTTGGTGGCTAAACAGAAATGAAAAACACAAAACATTGTTACAGGCACTTCCGAAAACATTCTGTTGTGAAATCTGAAATGCAAGTGGTGACAATCTGAAGTTCCTTATCTTTAAATCATCTTTCCTTTCAAAAGAGCAGTGGTGCTCTTTTATAAAGGTAGGTAGCCACATGTTGGAGTGAATCCTCATTTACTCCCATTATACACTAGGAGGATCTTGGATTTCCAGAATAGTCTGAGTTCAAAAAATGTTAAGTCTCCACTTGATGAAGTATCTGTATGAACTCTTCAAAGACCAGAAATCTCTGAAATGTTCATTCTTCTCTAACTGAATAACCACTTGTGTCTCACGACTCAATAATGAGGTATAATCTGGAGTAGTACTCTCAGATGTATATCCCATGCCATTTTTTATACCACTGGTTGCATAGCTTAGTACTAAACCAAGCTTCATTCATTAATTCCACTTCTCTATCAGTCTTCTGTTGGAAAGCTTACACACGGTTTCTAAAGAGCCTAAAACTGACCATGTAGATATTTCTTTAGCTTTAAACATGTGATAACACCATTTGCCATGTAGATATTTCTTTAGCTTTAAACATGTGATAACACCATTTGCCCTTAGACCATTCTCTATACACAGGAGCAGTCATTGCTGGACCAGATACTCTTCTCCTTCCACTTTCATATGAGGAAACCAATAGTTCAGAGTGTATGACTCGTACTGCTGCCTAACCACCTTTAATGATGCAGACGTCAGATTTTTCTGTTTTGGGTAAATGTGGCCCTGATGTGCGGGTTTAGGTATCTGCAGATGGGGGCTGCATTTGGGAAACAGCTATATAGATGAATTTGGACAAACTCATAAGGCCAAGACTGGATGATTAAGATAAATTTTAAAAAGAAATCTAGTCACATACTGGATATATCTCACACCAGGACACATTAGAAAGAAATGCAGAGCTGCACAGGAAAAAAAAATGAATTTCTGAAGGTGGGAAAGCTAGGGGACACACCAATCTAAGACCACTACTTTGTGCAGAACCCTTGCACTGTTGGTGGTTGCTATTCCCCTGAGTAGACCCCAGAGGATCTGCATTTGCAAATGGACAGCATTTTTGTGTTCTTATTTGGTTTTGGAGTGTTGTCTGCAATGTCTTCCTTGGCTCATTCTCTTTTTTGGCTATATCAGCTCTGGAGGTCTGCTTTCCCTTTTCACTGCTCTGGCCGTCCTTCTCTCCTCTCCCCTCTCATTTACTCCCAAATCTTCTCACTCCATATGCTTTCTCCAATCCACCCCTTCACTGCTCTCGTCATCTCCTGCTCCCACTCTTGGCTCGGCAGTTCCATTCATGCTGCCACTTACTCTCAAAACTGTCTCCCACTCGTTGCCCAGAAAATGCTATCTTTTGCCTTCAGATCCTTCTCTGTCATCTGCTTTGCCCTTATTCTCCCAAACAGTAATCCTTCACACTTTGTTTACTTGGCCTGCTTCAAAGGGCTGCAAATTCATCTGCAAAATGGGGCTAAGTGGGGAGCTTTAAGAGGCAACGTCTCTTTATCTGAAACTCTCAGCGGCAGAATGAAAATCCCCCTTTACAGCCTGTAGCAAGCTTTTGTCACCAGTCTGCATCACACTGAGATTCAGCCCTAGTTCTGTTTGTTTGCAATAGCTTCTTAATGCCTCATCATAATCACAGTGCATGGTACTCAAAAGAATATAAGAACCTTGCTGAAACACATCTAATGTCCATCAAGCCCAGCCGTCTGCTCCAATGGAGTCCAGCCAGATTCCAAGAATGGCAGGAAGAGGGCACCACCACCACCCTTTTCAGAGGAGGTGTATGGGGTCCATGCTTTTCGAAACTCACTAAACCTTGCAAGCTCCTGGGTCAAATGAGTCTGGGAAAGAACTGGCAGTAGCTTCTGGATCCCTCTTTAGCAGTGCAATTCTAAGCAGTCACACCATTCTATGCCCACTAACTTGAATGAACTTAGAGTGGTGTAACACTGATAAGTATTACATTGCTATTCATCTCCATGGAGATGGCTCACCTAGATGGCCTGGAGAGATCATGGCATCAGTCTGGGACAGTGATTGCTGGGCCCTACCATGAGCCCAGCCCAGCATGACCTGGAAGAATCTGCTGCCAACACAAATCCACCTGGCCTGGAAGGTCTTCACCGACTGAGGTTAGAGCAAATGCTTAGTCCCCAATTGAGTTGCTTCTCTTTACCATAAATGATCCTTGGTCCCAAACTATATTTGCTATATTTGCTATTTTATAATAATAAATTTTGCTTCTCATACAACAAAACACTCTATGGAGTGAAAAGAGAAGTCCCATCCATGACCAACGGAACAGCTTCCTTCTGTGTTCAGAGAGTTCACAGGACATTGCTCATATAATGAAAGGTGAGAATCTCAGAATGCTGAAGTTTTCATTCTGTTCCAGATTCTTGACTTGCACCCTGTTGGTTACTGCCAAACAGAGTTTTGTTCCAGTTGGGCATCCAAACCGGGGCAGGTTCATTTTGGAGCATCCATATTAGTCCTCTCCTAATCATCCACTTTCCAGTTATCTTCTGCTTTGCTGCAACCTTTCCCAAATCTGGCTTAAAATTATCTTTGTGGAAAGACACAGTCAAGGCAACTTTGCCTTCTGTGAGGACAGGTAGGTGAACACACTGGTGTCATATAATCTTTCTCATCCCATAAAGCCACCATTCCTGCCCCCTGATATAGCCAAAAAAAGAGTTTTCAAGCTTTTTCAAAAAAAACCCAGCAATTGCCAGATCACTATAGTGTCATAATGACCTATTACCACAGTCTACTAGCTCTGTTGTGGAGACAGGATGAACCACAGTGAGGAGAGAAAACAGCTGTGCGGATGTTTCATTGCTACTGCAAATGCCTCTGCACACACGGCGGCAAGAAGAACTACAGCATGTAAAAGCAGCTATAATCATGTCTGCATGGAATATACATAGCCTTGTTTGTGACAAGAAATTGTCCTTTAAAATAACCAGCTGGCAACCCTGATTTAAAACAATGCATCCCTATAGAAGGTAAAAAAACAACAACAAGCAAACTCAAGTGCAGATATTCCCCAAAAGAAATTCCTCCAAGCTTGTAGCTGCTTTAGTTTCTTAAGCTAGGGAAGAAGAAAACACAATATGAGAGGTAGTGACTGTGGAGGGAGCAAAAATGATTAGGCTCCAAATCACATGGTTTAAATGAGGGGTTTAGTGCTGCAAAGCCCAGGGACCCATACAAACCATGGCACTGCTGAAATTTAATTGTCTCTGCTGGTGATCTGCCTCCTCTTGTTTTCAGTGTTTAATGAGATGCCAGTGCATTGGAGCAAAGAAAGCCACACACACACACACACAAGGATTTTGGGGCTGTAAAGATACCAGGCTCTGTCTGCAGAAAAGGAAGATTTCCCCATTTACCTACTGCAGATTACGTCAAGGTCCATCATCCACAAACAGCACTGCTACTCTGACTCTCCCCTTTTCAAGGAAAATCTGTTATCTTGCGTCACATTCCCTTCCTGAGTCAGTTGAGTTTTGTTTTTTAATTGCCAGTTTCGCTGCAGGGGAACGGGCCTGCATACCAAACAGTGAGCACATTATGTTATTTCATCTGCTGAGAGCATGGGACAGAACATGTGTGCATGTGAAAGAATAGTCTGTTCGGCTCTTCCTGGTTTTTCCTCATCCAATCAAATATAGTGTCTCTAAAAGCCTTTCTCTTGGAGGGCAGGGAAATCTCTCTCACCTTTAATTTGCACAGTGGCTGTCCGAGATGAAGACAGTCCCTTTATGTTGTGGGCTTCACAAGAGAAAACTGTGCTTTGATTAATACCTGGAAATCAGCCAAAAAAAGAAGAAGGGAAGAATAAGAAAGCAACACATAAAAAACAGCTGTACAATCCCCCAGCTTCAGCCTCAAGCAGAATTTCAATTATATTTGACATGCAACTCAGACTCTGTATATGCAAGTTGGAAGCTGAACTGGAAGCAGATCAAAAAATGCATAGATTTGAATGTAATTAAGAAGTCAATTGGGTTTTCTTTTCACGTGATGTGAGGGGGGGGCACTCTGTGAAACAGGCGGCCAAAGTGCTGTGCTCTTTGCTCTCCATTGTGATCTCACTGCTGTCCTTGGCTGGCCTCTCCCCTACTGTTTGTACACAATCAGGGCATGGCTTGTGACATTCCACTAGCATGTTTGTGCAGCATCTGAGAAAATGTCTTGGTCCAACCAGGACTTCTCATGGCTCTTGAATTATCTTCTCACCCTTCAATTAAGAAATCAGTGAATAACTTGAATAAAACTTTGTTGGTCTTAAAGGTGCCACTGGACTCAAACTTTGTACTACTGCTTCAACATGGCTACCCACCTGAGTCTAACTAATAAAGTGTAACAGGATTGTGTGAACTATGGTCCAAAAATCCAGTACTTTTGTTTCAGGATTTAGTACCCCTCATAAGCTTTTGCACAAATGTAGGAAATGTAGGCTCTTCTAAGAGGAAACTCACAGCACTCTTGTGAGGGGGAGGAGGGAGGTCACAAGTGGTACTTTGAAAAAGTACTTGAGAACTGAGACCTTTATTAAGAAAGGCATGTATGTCATCATGGGCCACTGTTGGCGTAAATGTCTGGGTGCACCGGGTACCTTTCCAGTTATATTGAGGAGAAAAGGAATCTCTCAATTATTACAGACCCCACCCCCACAAATCCTTAACTGTTTGTTGTACTTCTTGAATCCAGTAGTTATTTTTGGAGAGGAAAGAATTTTACCTTCATTTTCTTGCAGAGGTATATTTTCAGCTAAAATAAACTGGAGTCTTGTGGCACCTTAAAGGTTAACAGAATTTCATTCTAGTATAAGGTTTGTAGACTCAAGGCCCCTTTGTTTGATGAAATGAGTTCTCCTCTGGGAAAGCTTATGCTGGAATAAAATCTTGTTAACCTTTAAGGTGCCACAAAACTCCAGCTTATTTTAGCTGGAACAAATTAGTATGGCTAACCCCCTAGCATATTTTCAATGGTCAATTTGCACAAATCCTTTTTTCCTTCCCAGGTGGAAAATGGAAAACTGAATGTGTGTAAAGTGTTTTGTTTTTTTACTCCAGTAAGTGCTTTTAAAATGGACGGTTTCAGCACAAAGTAGAACATACAACCCCCCTTTTAGTTTGTCACAATTCAAATAATAATCATATTCAGAAGATTATATGGAACCAAAGTTGGTGACAAGCTTTGAAAGCACATTCCTCCATACACCTCATGTATGTGCATGTGCAAGATCTGTTTTTCTCCTACGAGCTACTGAATTGTACCTCAGATCTGATATCCAGAACTAGCTTCTGCAACCAAGTCCACAGGGGACTTTGCATCTGATTCAGCCCAGGGCCTGAAATGCTATAGAAACAAAGCACCACAAACAAGCTGCAGAATATTCTCCCATGCTATGAGCCTTCCAGTCTGGTCTGAGCTCCTGGGCCCCACTCTTTTTACATAAAGCACTGATAAGCAAGGCTCTCAATAAGCGGCCTAGTTGGCAATTCACCCTACTGCTTTTATAGCTATTTACAATCAGACAAAATGGGATCAAAGGCTACCCAACCAGAAAGTGAAAGTCTATACTCAGTTTGCCACTTAGCAAACATAGGGATAAGGACTGAGAATACTGGCTTCAGCCTCATAGGGAATTTGCCTCACCTCAGAATCACAGGCTCCCCCCAGTATTATTACCCCTCTACACACAACCCTTCCAGACCTTGAATGACTGCGTGAGGAGGGACAGTGAGCACAAACATGCTGGCCCTGCCTCCACCTCAACAAGATTGCTGGGGTTGTGAATGTGCACAGGACGTGTCCATGAATATGCCCCTTCCCCATGACTGAGGATGCTGATTCCCAAAAGCTGCTGATCATGGGGAGGGAGCATTTATACAGACACTCTGCATGTAGGCACCATGCTCACAAGAAATCACAGAGGAGGCGGCCAGGACCAGTGTACTCCTGCCCACTGTTTCCACATTCAGTTAATGTGCAGATGGGTCATGTGTACAGGGCTATCCACTTCTTCCATACAGGAGGCACAGAACTGTCACTTATGGGTAAATTATGCCCTTAAGCTTAACTTGTATGAATGTGATGGCTGATGATGCTCTTAACAGTTATAGTAGCATTTATTAAAGGTAAAGGTAAAGGTTCCCTTGCTTGAAAGCCAGTCGAATCCGACTCTAGGGTTGCGGTGCTCATCTCCGTTTCAAAGCCGAAGAGCCAGCGCTGTCCGAAGACGTTTCCGTGGTCATGTGGCCGGCATGACTAAACACCAAGGCGCACGGAACGCTGTTACCTTCCCACCGAAGTGGTCCCTATTTATCTACTTGCAATTTCTTGCTTTCGAACTGCTAGGTTGGCAGGAGCTGGAACTAGAGACAGGAGCTCACCCTGTCTTGCGGCACCCGGGTCTTGAACCGCTGAACTACTGACCTTCCACAGCCTGCAGTTCAGCGTCTTAACCACTTGAGCCACCGCAGCTCCTTACTTATTACTTACTAATAAATTATTACTCATGGAGACCGGCGTTTGAATCCTGAGTCTGCCATGGAATCATGCTGGGTGACTTTGGGCCAGTCAAAAACTCTCTACTTAACCTACCTTAACAAGTTTTTGTGAGGATAAAATGAAGGAGAGAATGCTGTAAGCCACTTTTGGTCCCCCTTGCAGAGAAAAGTGGGGTATAAATGGAGAAAATAAATATAACTCTTGTTTCCTTTTTTTATTTGTGATGCCTCTTGCCTTGTGTGATTACTTCTTGAGATTTTACATGTGAAAGACAAAAAAAATTGGATTAAACAATTATTTAAAAATTGAGATTGTGCACTTGTTCATGAAGGGCCCAGATTCCATTGGATGTGTGGAGTGGAGTGGTTGCTTGCTTTGTTAATCTGGGCCTCAGCCAGCTTCATGCTGCTTGGTTTAAAATAAACCAGGGTCAGCCAAAGCAGTCCTAAGCAGAGTCCGTTGTAGCCAGTGGGCTTAGAGAGGTGTAACTGCTTAAGATGGCACTAGGAAACATCAGCCCTGACCTGGATAGCCTAGTCTAGCCTGATTGCTTCAGATCTTGGAAGCTAAGCAAGTTCAGCCCTGGTTAGTATTTGGATGAGAGACCACCGAGGAAGTCCAGGGTCATTACACAGAGACAGGCAATAGCACACCGCCTCTGAATGTTTCTTGCCTTGAAAACCCTGCAGGCTTGCCATAACTGATCTGCAACTGGACACTTCACACACTCATGCACACACGCACGAAACACTAACTGAAATTGCAGTTGAGCACAGCTTGCCTGAAGTCAACTTGTATTGCCTTCATTGAAAATGAAGATGAAGAGGAATGCAAGATCAAAAGATAAAGGATGACATGATGTTAAGATACATTTTGAAATCTTCTTACGCCATGAAACCCGAAGTTGATATATTCAAGCCGACAACTTGCCAAGTAATATTAGCATGACTACTGTTGTCTTCAACTGTGGGAACACCCAAAATGTTCTCAGTACTTTTGAGGTACATAAAAGAAAACCCAGTTTCTACTTGAAAGTAGACACAATCCACATATGTAACACAAATAGGGTTGCCGGGTCCTACCTGTGATCCGGCAGGGGGCTCCTGGGTCCTGCCCTGGATCTTCACCTCACCGACATCGGGGGGGGGGGGGGGACAACACTCTGATTTTTGGTCAAAACTCTATGGTGTTTTGCCTTCAAAACCATAAAGTTTGCCCACAAACTAGAGTGTCACCTCCCTGACGTCGGCAACACAATGATGTCACTTCCGAGTGACTTCATTGTGTTGGGGATGTTGCCCAGTGATGTCCCTGTTTGGGGGTGGGGCTTCCTCCGCTGCTGGATCGAAGCCCCCAAAATTGCTAATACCCCACCTAGACCAGGAGTCTGGCAACCCTATAAACAAATCGGGTGAGATACTAAAATGGTGACTCCTCCTTCACTTTGTTCCAGTTTTTAAATTTCTATTTTTTCTTTTGCCTCTTTGGGTTTTTTTTTTTTTTTTGTATTTTTCATATGTACATGTGAGTGTGTGTGCACCTGGAAGTCATGGCGACCTCTGGTGACTGACTGTGTGTGCACCTGGAAGTCGTGGCAACCTCTGGTGACTGACCACTACTGGGGGCCTGGAGGATATTCAGAAAGATGGCTGAATAAAGCCTGCCCTGCCTCTGGTATTTCAAGGAGGTCTCTCATCCAAGGACTTGCCAGAGTCGACCCTGCTTAGCTTCTGAGGAGATCAGGCTTGCCTGGGCTATCCCGGTCAGGGCAAGCATTTGGGTTTTCTGTTTTGCTGATACCAGTTGTTTTTCCTGTCCTCCTAAAGTCTTTGTTGTTGCATGCCTCAAGAATAGTGATCTAATGGTAGCATGGGCAGGCTGACTCTCTGAGCCCTGCTTTCCCTACAGAGACAAAAACATACACACAAAGCCCCAGAAAGACAAGTGAGTTAAGCCATGAGGAAAACATTGATTTCAAGTCCAGGAGATTTATTATTTAATCCTCCTCCGGCTCTGAGCAACATAAGCACAAAATAAATCACAGAATGCCTTGGGCTTTACAAATGTATTTGGAATGGCTTTGTCATAAATGAGTCTACATGACTGAAACCTCCAAAGTTACCAACTTACTTCTGGTTTTACAACATAAACCAACTGCAAGTGTTCCAGTGCAAACCTGCAACTCCCTCCTGAATATGGGTTGATGACTGGAAACATACTGCCTGTCCTTCTGCATTGGCGCTGTTTTTGAAAGGAGTAGATGGGCATTACTCCCCTCCTATGGT